CCCACGCCGGGGGGCGCGGCCTGAGGTCCCCCGGCCTGGTGCTGGTGCGGGAGGTGCAGCTTGAGGTCCCATGTCAAGCCCCACCTGGTGGGGGGGGTGCAGCCTTAGGTTCCCTGCCCTGGCCCACCGCCACACAACCTCAGGTCCCTGCTGATTGCTCATTAAGGCTCATTACAGGAACTCGGCCTCCGCTGTGGATGCAGCCATCTTGTGTTATGGAAACCCCATCTCTGCTGTGGGTACCACCATCTTTGTGATGGTGTGATGGTCAATTTGCATATTCCCATATTTATTAGCTAGAATATTTCTATTAAAGTATATTTGTATCATAGCAAGTCCTTAGCAGTTTTTAAAAAATATATATATATTTTATTGATTTTTTTATAGAGAGGAAGGGAGAGGGATAGAGATTTAGAAACATTGATGAGAGAGAAATATCGATGAGCTGCCTCCCGCACAACCCCCATTGGGTATATGCCCGCAACCAAGATACAGGCCCTTGACCGGAATCGAACCCGGGACCCTTGAGTCCGCAGGCCGACACTACATCCGCTGAGCCAAACCGGTTAGGGCAGTAAGCAGATTTTAAAAACCTGTGTAATCATGTACGTGTCATATACTTAGTTATGCCTTTATTATTAGATCTGTAGGTTATATCACAGTGAGCACCTTTGTATATACGTTATTGCCTGATAACGTATTTTTTGAATTGTTGACTTCAAAATAACATATAAATAAGGGAAAAATCAAAGTTTCCTTTATCTGTTTGAAATAATATTTAATTATTTTTAGAATTTTAGCCAAATATTTTTGTATAAGATTACCTTCTTTTAACTAATATAAATGGTACTGTTTTTGGTAGAGGACCTTGTGGCTTTTTACTGTTTTGAACTTTAGAGTTGAGTATAGGAAAATCTAATTGAAAATAATTTTACAAGGTTTTATTCCTTGCAAGCATGAATGAATAGGTTAATAACTTTTGATTTTTATCTTTTAAGAGAAATCTGAATGAACATTTAAAAATGATGTTTATATGTGCCCAGAGTGGTAGTTTTATGTTTTGTATCTGCCTCAAGTATATGTTCATACAGAAATAAAGTCTGTACCAAACATACAGAAATAAAATGATTGATTGAATTTACTTTGGTATTTATTTTTTACTTTGCTATTTTAATATATATTTATTTCGGAGAGGAGAGGAGAGGGAGAGAGAGAGAGAGAGAAATATCAATGATGAGAGAGTATCACTGATGGGCTGTTTCCTGCATGCCAAACACTAGGGATCAAGCCTACAACCCGGGCATATGACCTGACCGGGAATTGGACGGTGATCTCCTGGTCCATAGGTCGACGCTCAACCACTGAGTCATGCTGGCTGGGACAACTTTTGCTATTTTAATTAGACACTTTTTATATCTTGAAGTCTTTTTGTGTGTGTGCATGTGCATTTGTGTGTACGTGTATACAATGTTAGATTCTTTTTTATTTTCTTGTTGGGGGATTTGCTATTCTGTATTTAATTGTAAAGTTTGTTAATCCTGTCATAGCCAAATTTTATGGAATGAAGTTAAATAATTACCAATTTAGCAAAAATTTAAAGGTAATATCTTTCTAAGTGGCTTAGGAGTGGTGAGATAAATACTCTAAATCAGTGGTTCTCAACCTTCCTAATGCCGCGACCCTTTAATACAGTTCTTCATGTTGTGGTGACCCCCAATTTCATTGTTACAAATTGAACATAATTAAAGCATAGTGATTAATCACAGAAACAATATGTAATTATATATGTGTTTTCCGATGGTCTTAGGCGACCCCTTTGAAAGGGTTGTTCGACCCCCAAAGGGGTCGCAACCCACAGGTTGAGAACCGCTGCTCTAAATGCTCCTGGTGGGATTATGCATTAGTATAGCTTCAGAAGTTTGATAATATCTGTCAGACTAAAAATGTACACATAGAAACACTTCTGAGAATCTTTCCTTCATAAACACTGGTGCAGTTGTGCAAAGATATATAATAAAGGGTAGAGCTGCTTGAAGTTCATACAGATAGTTTTAAAAAGTTGCTAAAGATATGCACACATTAAGAATTGAAGGAAAAGAGAACCGAAGATGGCGGCATAGGTTAACACCAGAGATTGCTGCCTTGAACAACCAATTCAAATTAAGCTTGATCCAGGGAAAGGACAACGTCCAGAGCCACAGGAGAGCTGGCTGAGTGGAAATTCTACAACTAGGAGTAAAGAGAATATTATTTCCAGACTCAGAGGCGGCGCAGTGCTGAAGTGAAATTCTGAGGTACGAGTGCGCGCGGAGCGGGGCGGCGCGGCGCGGACGGCGAC